AAGAACTCGAAGATTTACTGTGGATTACAGCGTGTCAACCGTGTGACGTCACAGGTGTTGTCAACCGCTGGGAACTTCGAAGGCTCAGAATTCGCGAAATGGACGCACTTAGAAGTACTCTTTGAGCTCCGATCTGAGAAATTTTTGGACCGTTATTGTACGTTTTTATTTTTTAACACCACTTTTCTATGATTGAAAAACCTTTTTCATTTCACTTCAGTAGCACTTTAAGCAAACCACCACCACGACAGCAACGAGGACGTGGAAAAACAAAAGGTCTAATTGGCAGAATAATAGCTCAGCACGTTCGTTTCAAAACAGTACATTTCTTGGCCGTTCTTTGCAAAACAACAGCGTGAAATCGACAAGGCTTTCGTCGTCTGCGAACCGAAACCGCGACGGCAAATTATTTTAATTCCATTTGCATCTCAACGGTACTTTTATACGTTATGTTGAGGTTGAGGTGTGGCGCTCTATGAGACGGTGCATGCAGCCATTTTCGAAATTCTAGTTAAAAGTAGAAATTCATTTTTTAATCGATGTCTTCCTTGGTGTTACCCGTTCCTGACTACTCAAGGTCCCTAATAACCGAACGAAGCCTACTTCTCTACTCTAGCCATGGATTTTAGTCTGTTGGATGAGGAAGTTGGCGAAGTTAATATTTAAAAGTAGTATCAAATGATTCATTTATAACCAACCTGCAACAAGAACAAGGTACTCTTTCTTTAGTAGAATTTGTTTGTGGGAAACGATTTTCCCCCTGAAGTTTCCGATATTTTGCTTCAAAATGGCAAGAATATTTTCAGGCATCGTATCCAAACAAGCACTCGTGCGTTCGTAGAAACTGAGCAAGGTTGCTCGTTTTTCCTCGTCTTCTTTCTTTGCCTCTGTTAACACTGTTAAGGCCTGATAAATGACAAATGATAAATCAGATGATGTGCATCAACAATTTCTTGTGTAAATCAAAGATTATTTCCTGCCCAATTGGTCGGTGTTACCGTTTACAGTCATTTTGAGAAATCCTTGATAAATCATCTGATTTACAAATAACTTTGACTTAAGACTTAGGGATTTAAATCCCTAAACGAGTTAGCTCCAACGTACTTGCGGGACCTGTTTATCGTGCGAAGCACAACCTATGATTTGCGTAACTCTTTTTGTAAATAAACTGACATTGCCAAGGCCGCGTGCTAATAGCGCTTTATACTATTACTAAAAATAGATTTTGTTACGTGATAACCTATGAGACCCTCCGCACATACTCAGACAAACATTGCGACGAGCTTAAGGAGATGTATGAGCGAGAGCTGTAAAATTAAAACAAAACGACGGAAAATTTCGTCAAAAAAATGACTTAGCGTTCTAAAAAAAAAAGCGGCATGGTTGGTACCAAACACTGTTGTTGGGTTGAGTGTAAGACAAACTCAAGATATGCAGATAAATGGCCAAAATCACTCAAAGAGTGAAAGGAATCGGGGAAGAAAGTATTCATTCCTTTCCCAAAATCTTCGCGAGACATGGCAAAGTGCAAGCGTTGGCTAGTGGCTTGTTCGCGTGAATTTTTTAG